CATTGTTAAGTACACTGGCAAGGAGCTGAATTGACCAACACAGAACATTAATCATTTACTATATAAGATTCAAAAATAAATTTAGCATTTTCTTGCACAAAAATTATTTTTTGTATAATATATAATTTAATATAAAATAACATGGTTGTTGCAGTAGTAATATCTATTTAAAGCTGCTTCCTTGTGTTTGTTGCATTTTCTGATATGTCCAATTTTCATTTATTACTTTGCAACTGTATGTACTATTTAAATAAAGGTGTTTGTTGAATCTTATTTCACAATTCCTAGGGTTTAAATCAATTGCTGGTTGAAGCCAGTCAATGATCAATTTACATTTAATAAGTTTAAAAACAAATGGTAGTAAGGTTTAACATATCATATAGCAAACCTATATAAAGTAGATTTCTCAAGTTTTTGTTATCGGCATAGAAACTTCTCATCTAATTCCTTCTATATGTTTTCCTTAATACATGCCCTTTTTTAAGTCATTATTTTGTAAATGAAGAGATTGCAAAAGGTTAATTGAATGTCCCTTGTGTGCTGCTTGATTGATTGCTGAGGTCAGCCAGCAATCAAGTTTCATTAAGTAATTTGTATGAGAACGGAGGAAAGTTTTATTTACTTGTTAATTTTATGTGTGCCATACAAGTTCATCAGAAAGAAAGTTTAATTAATCACATAGTTATATACCACGAACTTGAAAAATGGAAACATTACAAAAGTATACATAAAAGTACAACATATAAGCAAAATTGGGATAATGAAGTATGCAAAAAACAAACAAAGCATAACAAAAAAAACAAAACAAACTATAAAGATCAACTGTAAGAAGAAAAATAAATGGCACTGGCTCCACGAATTGCGTCCATATATTCAATCAATACATCATTTTATTTGTTGGCCTTTTACACCTTCTTTAATACTCTTATAATCAAGTGTTTCCAACACGTTTTATAACCTGCGTATTTCTCCTGTGTGTTACTGTTTCATTTTCATAGCTTCTCAACTATTTTACAACAAATACGTAGTTATGTGCATTGCTCGTTAGCATTTGACATTGATATTAAGTTATTGCATTTTTTATATAATTTTAAATAAATGTCTACCCTTCTGAGTGGATCGAAAAAATCACTAGTAACACACACACACTCACACACACAAACACACACACACACACTATTTCTCTCTCTCTCTTTTTGCACTCTTGCTTTCATATACATTTCTAGGAGATGAAGGGATGACTGCATTCAGCTACTCTAAATAGAATTTATTTGAAAAAAAAAAAAATGTTCCATAAGTGGAAAAAAAATAATTTTAGAGTAAATCGCCTGAGAAAATTTGTGATGCATAAGTACCCTTTTTTACTTCAATTACAAGAGAGAATTATTAGGAATTTGGAGATAGACAGGGTGCATAGTGCACCGACAGGGGACCAGGAGGAAGTAGAACAGATTGAAAGATAATAGAGAGACAATGGGACAAAGAAGGTTAAATTGAGGAGAAATGTGGGAAAATCAGTCAAGTGGAAAACAGAAAAGACCATGTGAATAAATTATTATTAGAGTCACAATTTCTTTAGTGAAGGAATTTATTCTACACACCCTGCATTTGTCAGTCTGAAAACATTTTGAAAGAATCGTATAGAGCCAAGGATGAAACAAGCTGAACATTTTGTCCAGATATCATCTCGAATGTGATAACATTTTGCATCCTTAACCATTAAACTGATATTTCTGTGAATTTAATAACAATTTCATAAAATATTTTAATGCATTTCACCAAATGCTTAACAAAGGTAGAAAAATAATTATTTTGCGTTCATTAGTCATTAGGTGTTTTTTTCTTTTTTGTACTTTTAATAAAACCTTACCTGCTTTTCCCCTTTACAATCTTTCATAGCATCACAATTGACTCAATTGACTCATCTTGACTTATGGTTTCTTCCTCTACCCTTTTGAAGACATCTACCTCTATGCCCTTATCTCTCCCCTCTACCCATATAATTTGAATGAAAAAAAAAACTATAATTATTTTAGGCTAACTAATTTTGCATATTTTTTAAACACAGGAAGTATTTATTACCTTATTATAATGGCACACATAGCAATATTAGTAAATACATAGAAATCATAAGGACATCAGAAGCCCATAGTGTGAACTACTATTAAAATATTTGAATACATATAATTCAAAAGGGAAGATTGCAATTACAAAAAAGCAAGACAATAGTAAGAAATAGTAATAGTAAAAATAGTAGGACAATATTTGTTATTTTGGTAGTAAAAACATATTTTATTTTTTGCATACATTATGTTAAGCCAACAGTCTTAGGAATTGTTATATTGTCTACGATTTAAAGATCTCCAAAAGTATCTTAACTCACTGGTCTGTAACTAACACAAGAGTTTAGCAAACATATGAGTACCAAACATGTTTGTATGTTGGTTGCAATTAGATAAACACAGAGGCTTACTAAATGGGGGATGAACACCGAGTAGCAGGTGGCAGAAACTTGGACAGGGCTCCTTTTGTCACCATAGCTGACACCTGTCTACCAACATGTTGCTGGCAGGTGTCTTCTCTGCCACTGTCTTGTGGCTATGGAGCAGTGTAAGAGATCTGCTGGTATCTGAGCACCCAACTTCCTCATGCGCTCCGTACTGTTGCAAACCAGTCTTGGAAACCCTAAACAGCTACAGGGAACAGGGGAATCGGTAGAGAGAGATCTCAGCAGCAAACTATTCGCCTCCAAGTTCCACTCAAGTTTCATTTCATGGGAAGCTGTAAAAAAATGGGAAGCTGTGTAGATCTCACTATGGAAATAAACAAATAAATAAATGGGAAAAAAAATAAGAATATGTGTTTTGCGTGTGTGTCTATGAATGTGTGTGTGTACACGAGTCTGTGTTTGTATATGAAAGTTTGTATATATGGATGTGTGTGTTTATACGTTTAATTGTGTTTGTGTATAAATCTGTGTGTATGCATTTATCAATGTGTGTGTCTGTGTGTATATATGAAAAAAGTGTATATGAATGTCTTTGTATATGAGTATGTGTATATATACATGTCTTTGTATTTGAAAGTGTGTATGAATGTGAGTATGTGTGTGTAGTTTAATCAACAAAAGGGTTAAGGGTGCACAGCAAACTGAGGGCGAACAGTGAGTCAGAAAAACATTTTATAGTTTGGGGGGGGGGGGCTAAAATACATTTCTGTCCTGGGTGACATGTAACCTAGGTATGCCTCTGGATCATCATGTTCTATATTGACTTTAATGTTTTATCTTTCAGATGATATCCTTACATATTTGAGCTAACAAATAATGCAGTAGGAGATATGTGCTACTTACCATTTACCATGTACCATTTATTGATGTGACCTACAATGATACTGTGTGTAAATCAGATTACTCAAAAGACACATTTCTTAGTCCACAGCAAGTAAATACCTCTTTTCATGGTTTCTCCTGGTTCACCCTTGCCCCTAGAAAAATTTAGTTGGAAGCACATGTTGTATGATCATAGGCCACAGAACTCACCAGGAGCCAGTGTTTGTTCATGAATTATTACATGTATGTATTTATTTATTACTGGTATTTATAAAGCACCAATAATATTCTGCAGCACTGTACAATATACATAATTCAAATACAAAAGATAGCGCGTGCCCTGCCCATAAGCTGAGATCTAGCCATGGAAGCTCTTTTATACAACGTGCTAAGCTAGATAGCCCGTGAGCTCACAATCTAAAGGATATAATGGGGATTTGGGACAATGGGCAGAAGAGGGAATTTGGTAGTGATGGTTAAAAGAAGTTCACAGAGAGTTGCAGCTATGGGTAAAATATAATGGGAATGAGGAGGTAATTGAGTGAGACTCTTAATTACATCATGCATAAGCTCCAGGCATCTAACAACACTCTCTGGAACAGTTTCGCACATTCATCTTGCACATGGTATTGGCCAGATTAGCATCTAGAAGATTAATAAATAATTTTTCTAAAAAAACTGAAATGTCTTTAATATTTAGGTTTAGGTATCCCTGCAAAGTAATCTTGATTTTGCACTACAGTTATGTACTAGGTATATATATATATATATATATATATATATATATATATATATATATGTTTTTAAATATATATATTTAAATACATATATAAGTTGAATTTCTCACCCTTCCTGGGTGCTATGTTTATTCCTCATTCCTGGGTCCTCTACCAGAGGTCTAGGAGTATGAGGGTACCATGCAGTATCTAAGCTGGTCCTAAAACTGAACTCATCTCGACAGTGATCCCAGATGTCCCAGCTGAAAGTTGTTTTAGCCACTTTCCCAACTTGGAATTCACAGCCCCGAGTGCTTCTAGCGCAACTGGTACTATTACTGCCTTCATTTTCCACATTTTTATAACATGTGTTAAGTAATTTTATCACATGACAGGAGGCTTCCTATTTTGCATTTCTCTCTTTACTAAACAGTAAAGAAAGTGAAACATTTAACCAATGAAAAAAATGCAATAGGGAGTAGGAGTTCCCAACAATTAGGCTCCTCCTCCTCTTTCTTTACTGCTCCATCGCAGACAGGTCAGAGTTTTTCGCTCCCCTTTTATATGCATATATATATATTGAATTTTATTTATTTTATTGATTTTATTGTACATTACTATTATTGGTATTTGTTTATAGCTTGTAGTCATCTACAGGTTATACACTTTATTTATATTTGTTCTGTTATTTTTTGCCCTAGAGTTTATCTTTAATTTCCCCTCAGGTTTTTATTTACTTCAGAGTCATTTTGTTTTATAGTTTTCTTTATTTTGTAGTTGGGGGCCCCCTCCCCCCTCCCTTGGTACCGCACTGCTCGTTTCTCCCTTGCTGTACCTCTTCATGAGGTAATCTTTCTCTGCTATTCCCAGCGCAAGAACCCCCGCGGTAATTGGCAGCCGCACAACGGTTTTTTCTCCCCATTGGCCTCCTTACCCTATCTCGACCCTCTCAGCCGCTCCGGCGGCTCTGCCACTGCGCGTCTCCTCACAGCGCAGCTCCCCTTTCCCGTCGGCATTCTTGCGGCGGCCATTTGCAATCTCGCGTCTTGCCATTTTGATGACTCAGTCCCGCGAACCGGCCGGCAGTTCTGTTTTCTCCCCTGGAGGTCAGTCCGCCCGAATTTTATTAAAAACCTGCTGTATAACAAGGCACTTAAGGGATCATAACCCTGTGCCTGTTAAGGGTGCCGCCCTATTACTTGTGCTGCTTATAGAGGTCGCCTTGTGGCCTCTTCTGTGATCCTGGGTGAGGCCCAGAAATACTAAAGCCCAATAGTGTGGTGTCATCAATATTAATATTATTAATATTATTATTATTATTCTTTTATTATCATATTCTTATATTACTGCTTTGGATTACCATTTGCCTGCCTAGGCAGCTTGGATCCTGCTGGGATCTTTATTACACCTTATAACCAGACTCTGCTGGAGTCCATTGTACCATCACCACCACACACCCTGCTGGGGTTGTTTACTCTATACTTGGAGTACAGATATATATATTACACACTACGGTACCCTGTTAGGGCCAGCATAGTGTTGCTCATATTAAATATACAGCCGAACTGACCTCTAATTCCCTAATTCTCTATTTTTCTAATATTCCCTGTGCCAAAAATATTAACCTCAATATGGAACCTGCTCAAAATTCAGCAGACCTCCAAACAATGATTAATGAGGCGGTAGCAGCCTCCATGGAGAAAGCTCTCTCCATAATGATGGCCTCTAATGCTGATAAGAGGAAACCATCAAAAACCCACCGATCCCGACACGATTCAGATTCCGAAGATTCGGAACCACATACGAGCCACGATCCACCCACCAGCAAACGTCACTGGAAAGGGGAAAAGGGCCAACAGAACCCGACCAAGGGTAAGACCCCCGTAAAAAGGCTTAAGCCTTCAAAGGACAATACCCCGCCTCCGCCACCCGATTACTCCTCGGATGAGGAGGATGCACACAAAAAGTCCTTGGCGATTCTGGATGAATGGCAGGCGGAGGGGTCAGACTCCTACGAGGACCCATGGGGCTCCGAGTCCGAATCCCAACCCGGACTCGTCACACATACGTTACTGGGAGATTCCCATTTGCAGGACACCATTGATAATCCGCAAGAAGACGAGGACGTCATCTTTGACCCATCAGGTCAGAAGTTATTTGATCCAAGGAACCTAAGACACCCTCGTTCAGGTGACTGGACCCCCCCAGATCACCTCGTAAAATTCATGCATCTTTGGCTGAGAAAATCCATGGACAAGACGGTCCGCAACCGACTACGTTCCGAATGTCCAAGACCTTCTTTACCCGATCACGTGGCGGAGACACCTGAATTTGACCAAGTGATTACCACCCTCATGTCCCGAGGTGGCCAGGACCCACGCAAAGGCATGGAGAAGGGTTTCAGAGCTGTCCAAGACAAACTGCTAGACTCAATAGGACCGCTCTCCAGGATCATGTACCTGGCAGACGATGCCCTCTCAAAGGCTGACCAATTTGACGCGACTATGGTTCGCGAATGGGCTCATGATGTTCGGGAGTGGGCACAAAGATGCTTTTGCTTTGTGGGTAACACGAATACAGCCCTCTCCTCCGAGTGGCGCAAGGCAGCACTACTCCGTATCGACGGAAAGTTGGTGGAATTGGGCACCAAGGAATTAGGTCCTCTGGCACAGGGCAAGCTATTTGGCGATCCTTTCCTCAAGGACTTAAACAAACACGTAAATATCTTTACTTCACTGAACAAAGCTCAGTCCTCTATGAGGAGAGTATTTAGACATAACCCCACCAGGGGTGTTTTTGGACGGGCTGGCCGCCAAAGGGGCCGTGCTGCCAGCCGTTTCTGGCCTTCAGGCCCCCGTACCTTCAGACCCCACTCTTTCTACCCAGAAGTGGGATACAGACAACAATCCTCATATACCCGAGGAGCAGATAGAGGCCGTGGACTACGTACCTGAGGCAGAGCACGTTTCTCCACAGGTAAGAAATCACCTAACGCATTACCTTACTCCCCTTCCAGCAGGTCGCATATCTTCGTTTTTTCAGGAATGGCAGACCATCTCCACAGACGCGTGGATCTTACAAACCGTTCAGGGGTACATCATCGACTTCACGTCACACCCTCGACAAACAGTCACACCGCACCCGATCAAATGCTCGGCGGAAGACGCCGAACTCCTACACAACGAGTTGCTGGACCTTCGATCGAAAGGCGCAATAGAACCAGCCTCCGGACCTCACGGTTTCTTCAGCAACATATTCCTGGTAAAGAAAAAATCAGGGGATTTCCGACCCGTCATAAATTTAAAAAGACTCAACGAATACGTCACGTACAGACACTTCAAGATGGAAGGCATACACCTCCTGAGAGACCTACTACAGGACAGAGATTGGTTCACGAGATTGGACCTAAAGGATGCATACTTCCTACGTTTTCACTGGCAAAATCACCCGTGGCAATTCACATGCCTTCCCTTTGGCCTCAGCTCGGCTCCATGGTGCTTCACCAAACTACTGAAACCAGTAGTCGCTCATCTTCGCGCTCAAGGAATTTGTTGCATTATATACCTGGACGACCTCCTTCTGTTCTGTTCCGACAAGTCCAGACTGACGCAACACACGAACTATACCACCGACCTGCTATCATCCCTGTGATGAGTCAGCCATGTCACCAGCTCAAACGGTGCAATTTCTAAGTTTCGAGAGAGACTCTACCACGAGCACCCTACGGCTACCTGCATCAAAGATCTCGAATATTCGCAAAGAACTGCGCAAGACCATTCGCGCCCACACCATTCCACTCCGCTCCCTCGCTCGAATAGTGGGACTCCTCTCAGCCTCCATACAGGCGATCTTTCCAGGCCCTCTTCACTACAGGGCAATGCAACACCTCAAAGCATCCTTCCTCAGACACAACCCATCCTACGACCAGCCAATTCCAGGCACGGACGAGGTCAGGGACGAACTCAGGTGGTGGCTGGACAGCATGGAAGCATGGAACGGTCGGGCCATCTTCGGGAACACGCCCGACATAGTCCTGGAATCGGACGCCAGCCTCTGGGGATGGGGCGCCACAGGCGCAGGCACGTCAACAGGCGGGACCTGGACCTCCCAGGACCTCAATTTACACATAAACTGTCTGGAACTCCTGGCAGGTTCCTTTGCCATCCGCAGCTTGGCAAAAGAAAAGACGGACTGCTGCATCCTCCTAAGGATGGACAACATCTCCGCAGTCCGCTACATCAACCGTCTGGGCGGTGCCCGATCCCGGATTCTCTCGGAAATAACGAAGGAGATCTTCGATTTCTGCCTACCCCGCAACATCTCCCTCAAAGCGGAATACCTTCCCGGGGAAACGAACCTCACAGCGGACTGGTTTTCACGCCACTGGAGGGATGCCAGCGACTGGAAGCTGGATCCACAGATCTTCCAGGGTCTAGCGGCACACCGGGGTCCATTTCACCTAGATCTGTTTGCGTCTCGCAACAACAGACAAACGCAGGCATATTTCAGTTGGCTCCCAGACCCGGAGAGCAAAGCAACGGATGCTTTCCTACAACCATGGCCGACCACAGGAGCATATGCCTTTCCCCCCTTCGCCATGATAGCACGGACCATACACTACCTGAGACAGCAAAGAGTATCCCTGCTACTCATCACACCGCTATGGACAGGACAACCTTGGTTTCCGGACCTCCTAGCCCTATCTTACAAGGACCCGCTCCTACTACCCTCGCACCAGCATGCTCTCACAGATCCGAAAGGGAGCCCTCATCCGCTCATCCTGGCCAATCGACTCACCCTAGTGGCTTGGACTCTTTCCGAGGTGCCTGGCAAGTCGGCGAACTATCGCAGGCTGCTAAGGACCTCCTATGGGACTCATGGGCTCCAGGAACCAGAAGATCCTATCTACACGTGTGGAATTGCTGGTCCAATTGGTGCTTGGAACGGAACGACGATCCATTTACGGCCTCTATTCCTACCATCATAAACTTTCTAACACACCTGTTCTCCTCAGGACGATCATACAGGTCCATTAACGTAGTCCGCTCAGCCATCTCAGCGGCCCATGTTCCCACACTGGGAATCCCAGTAGGAAAAGACCCACTGATTTGCAGACTTCTAAGAGGCATTCGACTACAACGACCTCCGGAACCAAAATACTCTCGACTTTGGGATGTCGAGGTAGTCCTCCGCTTCCTGAGAGAATGGCCGACCAATGACAATCTCTCCCTCGGGCAGCTCTCTGCGAAACTTACAATTCTACTTTGTCTAGTTTCATTCCGCAGGGTATCGGACGTCTGAGCGTTTGACATTGACGCGTTCTCGGTCTCTCCGGAGGGAGTCACATTCCAGATATCGCGTCGCACGAAGTCTGACTCCGCAACGGATTTTTACCCTTTCTTCACTTCCGATCCACAACTCTGCGTCGTGGCCACACTACGGCGATATGTGGAGGTTACGCGTCCGATACGGACTCCGGCCTCGGGGCAACTCCTTGTGTCATACGTCCGACCACACGTTCCCATCACTACTACTACCCTAGCCAGATGGGTTCGGTGGATTCTTTCGTTAACAGGCATAGACGCCTCCTTCGGCGCTCATTCGGTACGTGGGGCAGCGGCTTCATCAGCTTTCACGGCGGGCGCCTCACTAGCAGATATATTACGCTCCGCTGACTTGTCTAGGGAATCCACATTTCGCACATTCTATTTCCGCCCGAACTCCAACGCGGCATTATCACTATTACAGCGTTAAAAAATGCAAAATAGGAAGCCTCCTGTCATGTTATAAAATTGAAGATTATGCTAGCGCCAGTGTACTTATAATCTTAATTTTAATAATGACAGGAGGCGAGTATTTTCCCACCCCTTCCCACCCTAGGGAAGATGGGTACATTCGAATTCTGATTTCTCCTATCTCATCTCTCATTTATATCTCTACTTCTGTCATAGCGAGATTTGTTCATATGCTAATACATTAGACGAGGATAAGTATATTCCTGTATGTACAACTATTTGTTTAATAATGTTGGTTATACTATTGCCATAAAATATTGTTAACGGCCAAGGGTCACTGTGACAAACAGTTCGAAGATCCCATTCTAACCCATTTCACACTCTCGTTTCAGTTTAATTCGGTGTCACCTTGGAGGTTCTTCGGTACACTACCTGGAATTCTTCTTACTACATGAAGAACAGATGTTCACCCGTTGGTACAGATTACAGTTTCATCACCCACTACGAACGTTTACCTGTTGTATTTACTCAGATGTTATGTATTAATCTTTATTTTACTATCACGATGTCGCTTCTGAAAGAGGGGGAGGAGCCTAATTGTTGGGAACTCCTACTCCCTATTGTATTTTTTCATTGGTTAAATGTTTCACTTTCTTTACTGCTGTGGAGTTTAGTAAAGAGAGAAATGCAAAATACTCGCCTCCTGTCATTATTAAAATTAAGATTGTAAGTACACTGGCGCTAGCATAATCTTCAATTGTTACACTATTTTTTTAAGTAAACTCCAAGCATGATAACTATCACTACTTTAGTAGTTATGGTGCCACGAGTACACTAGTCCCATCCTACATCAAGATGTCAAACAGTTTTAGTATAAAACATGACCATCTAGAACCACACCACATGGCAGGACTGTGGTTCTAAACCCATGCTAATGCTGTTTGACATTGGATGTCACCAGAGTGCCTCGAGTCTACCCTCTACTAACTGTATTTTTATTTTACTTATTAATATTAATCCTGTTTATGCAGAAATTGTGATTTTACGTTTGAGTGTAATTGTAAATCTTACCTATATTCCATCCCTGCAGATAAGAAAACCTATAAAGAGATCCAATCAACAACTTGTCACATCTCACAATGTCCTTTACATGCTATGAACACATCTGTCATCAAAATGTGAAAAAAATGTGAAAGCCTTAGATATATTGTCATGTTGTAAAAAAATATTGATTGAAAGTGCCAGTGAAACAGATTTGCTGAAATAAATAAATACAAATTCCAATTCTAATTGAAGTTTACCAAGAGTGCAACCAGTTAAAAATAATATATGATATACACCAATAAACCCTTACACCATCAATCAATTTTTCTTTTACAAATATCAGCTTTGGATTTATTTTAAACATGTGATGGAAAGCATGCATATAAACCCCGACTAAAGCTTTTTGTAAATATCACTGATCAGAGGCACATAAAACATATTGCATACATTTCAATGTATATTTGTTATACTTTACTACACTTGTGCACAGAGGAAACATTTTTTTGACCTAACCACTTACTCTGAGAATAAAAAGAAAGTTGAGCCGGCAGGTATTTCTTTTGCTGAAAAAGATTTAAGAAACTAAATCAGATTATCCAAAAGGGTGTTACAATGGGCTAATCAGTGCATACAGAATATATACATAATATAAGTACTATGTATATATTTTGCAGTACGCTGATAGGAGCATTTCACACAATTTGGTTCACAATTCAAGTGACAATAAGTAACTAATGCAGGCAAAAAGAAGAGGAGGAGTAAATAAAAAAAAAACTACAATTATTAAATATTTAATATATAAATATGGACATTTTTAACTGTCTCTTCTTTTTTCCCTCTATTGGCAAATTCTCATTTGATCTGTAAATAAAATCAAAATTTAATGGCTATCCTCTAGCCATCAATAATTTATTTCCCCATCAATCATATATTTTTTAGGTGTCAGGGTGGAGTTCTAAATCATTTATCAAACAAACATGCTTGTCCATTGTGCAAGTATCTTGTTTTGTGATTGGCCTATATGGCGGTCCAGAAATTGCAAATTTGGGCATCATCTGCCGAACTGCAACTCCTAATGAAACAAGTCTATTGTTTAAAGATATATTGAGCTGTAAAACATTTTAGAGGTTATTTGTTATAGCTTGAAAAAGATCGTACATTTTAGCATAGGAGCAGATTTTCTTTTGTGTCCCATTCATTAGACCTGTCAAATGAATATATTACATTACCAAATACTGATTGCATTTCTCAGAATTCAGCTTACTAAAACTGCCACCAGACTGTAAAAATTATGTGTTTATGTGAGTGTGATGACCACAAACACTAGATTCCATTGCATCTGTCATTGGTACAATAGAGGGCATTACAGGCTGCTATTGCAACATACAAAGAATCCATGCAATGTGCTTTGTATGCCCAGTGTCATGCAACCTTGACTTTAGACTTTAAACATTTTCTGTACAGGACATTGTGAAAGAAGTGTGATACGCCATACAAAATAACGCTGAAGAATGGAAGAGGAATGTTTTTCTTTGCAGAGTGTAAATCTGTGCTGGAATGAAGTAGAACAAAGGCAATGGGGTGGAATGTAAAACAAACATTATCCTATGTGTATGTGTAGTCATATATGTTGTTAGAAAATACTTTGCATATATGCACATATATTTAAAACATACATTTCACAATTAACATGATGTTTCTGCATAGCCTAAGCTTGGTTTTGTAATTAGGAATTCTAAGTTCATTATGGCAAAAGACATATCTTAAAATTATTATGTGTATTGAACATTTATTGCCATAAAAAGAACCTGAATAAACATGTTTTATTAATTGAGATTTTTTTTTAAATCTAATCAGCTTCTAAAAGGTTGGTGGTTCTTAAGAATATAAAAGGTAATTTTGTTTAAAAAGCCTTTCGGGCTGGGAATCAATTATACAAAGGTAGCTGAGACATTAATTATTTCATTGATTCTAGAACTTGCAAGCACCATCTGCAAAAAGCATCTCTTTGATGACAACAATATATTCTAAATTAACCCTTCTTTGACTATGGGCTCTGTGTTATTCTGCATAGTGTCTTTTCTCCGAATGCATTTATTTGTAGATGGTGAAATTATTATACATACTATTTTAATTAATAGAAACTAAGCCAAAAAAAAAACTTCACCCAAAAAACACAAAGAACAAATGTGCAGTGATAAAAAATATATAAATCAACTTAACTTAATATAATTGTACAGCTTCCAAAAGGTACCTTCCAAATAGGATAAATAAATAATACATAGTGTAGAATGTCCAAATTAGTGATTTGGGCATACTACACTATCTCTATTTTATTTTTCTTTCAACAGTTATATCCCAGTTTTGTGTGATATATATTTCTGATGTAAAGAGGTTACCATTTGGTGATTTGGACATACTACACTATGTATTATTTATTTTTCTTTTAACAGATGTATCCCAGGTGTGTTTTATATATGCTTTATTAATTATATATTTAAAATAATAAAAGGGAAAATTGTTACATATATCAACCAAATGTGAATATTTTTTGTACAAACAGACTGAACATTATATTTGGTGTCCCAGGATCTTTACAATAGGGCACATCACTAAAGATATTTTTTGAACTAATACCGCTTGTCAAAACGTAAACTTCAATGAAGATGTTTAAACCCTAGGCAAAAGTAAATTTTGCGGCTCTTTTTCTTCTCTAATTTCTCCTTCATCCATTTTTACTTTAGCTTCTTTCTTTGAGTTGTTTTTTCAGCGTCCTTCTATTCATGTCCTCGCTCTGGCATCTGATCCCCAGGCCTCACTGATTTTTTTAACCTCTGTCAATTTTACAATTCCCAAGCTTCTTGTCATTATTTCTGTCAGTCTCATACTGTCCTATCCATCACTCTTTATCATTCTAAGGTCAGGTCAGGATAAAAACAAACTAAACGTTAATACAAGACCCTTTTCAACATCACTTCCATTAAATCAGATTATTAAATTGTTAATTTTTTTTAATCTTTTGGTTCTACAATAAAAGAAAAAAACATTAATAATAACAATAAAAAGTATAGACTGTGCTGCAATCTTTTCAACGTAAAAGAGTGATTGGTATATGTTTGTAGGTAGATCTTTACATTGACAGCTGATCAGACCAAATGTGCGTACACGTTGCTTCACACATCTGAAGTCAATCAAGTATGGCTGGAAAGTACAATACAGCAGTGAAATCTTCTCACTGGAATAACCTAATTTACACATGAAATCCATATGGTGGGTCATTAATTATCTATAAAAAACAGTAATTCATTGTAGGTAACGAACAGTGCTGCAACCCAAAGTGAAGTGGCTCCTGTGTAAGAATATATGCCTCAATTTAATATATTTGAATAAACGTATTTAAAAGTTTTAATATTTTGAAAAATATTTTAATATTTTTGATATATTAATATAATTTTATATATTATTTTATTTATTTATGGATTATATTTTGATATTTTAATAATTTAAAAAATATATGTTTTAAAAACTTTAAAAGCTAATTTTAAAAATATTAAATTGAGGCTATAGTGACATATATCTTTAATAGTACATGCCATTTTATTCATGGACTAAGAATGAAAACACTATTTTGGTGCCACTCTATGTGGACTTATGTAAATTGGTTTTATAGATTTATAGGGGTGCTCTGTACTCCGATACATGATTGAAGTTAAGTGTTATTCATAGAAAATCCATGTTACTCATAACTTTAATGCATATAAAGGTTCTAAACTAGGACTCCACATGATATCTGATCCTTATTTATCCATTCCTGGAAACACTTATTACAAGGATACAGTGACATGTTAACATCCTTTATTAACTGTTGCTTATTAAACGGAATCTGGGCTTTTCAATAAACTCCAGCGATCAATACTTCACTGTCTCCGTCTGCAGAAAGCAGACAGCCTCTTCTGCTCTTTCCCACTCTTGTGTCATCCATAAAACAATTACCAATAAAACCATAATGGAAGCATTTATTTATTTATTTTGTCATCGGTCCTAATAAATTCATCCTTTTTGTGTCCTACACTTTGCACATACAGGAGTTTGCGCAACTACAGTATTGAGACAGAAACTGTAGAGCAACAGAATATTAACTAGGGACCTAAAACCAATTATCCAAGAGGATGAAGTATTTTATTATTTTTGTAGAATGAATGGGCAACCCAAGATTGGTGCAAGTGTGGTTTTAAAGAGTTTATTAAAGGGCCACTGTAGTGCCAGGAAAACAAACTTGTTTTCCTCGAACTATATAGTCCTTAGATCCTCCCCACCCTCCGGGCCCCCCTCCCGCTGGGCTGAAGGGGTTTAAACACCTTCACCAATTTACCTTAATCCAGCGCTGGGCTCCTTCGGCGCTGATGTCCTCTCCTCCCCCTTCGAAGTCAGCTTCAGAGTGGAGCCGAATGCACATGCGCAGCAATAGGTATGCTTTACTCAATGCTCAATGCTTTCCTATGAATGTTTTGCGTGCTCAATGCGATTTTCGCATTGAGCATCGCGGAAGCGCCTCTAGCGGCTGTCAGGAAGACAGCCACTAGAGGCTGGATT